CAGTGTTGATTTGTTGATTCATTTGTGAACTAAATGGATGTTTTTTTTTAGGGTGGGATGCCTAGGCTTTAGGAGTAAGTGATTAATTACTACCTGTTTATCATTTGAGGAAAACTTTTCCAACCAGGAAGTATTTTCAAAGATCTGTCACCAAATACAAGACAGAGCACTTCATTTTATCCCTTGAGTTTCTGTCAGTGAAAAGTTAAAGTGGCCAATTTCAATGTTGTTTAAAATTGGTGTTAAGCATGGCCAGTTACATTCGACCCATTACGCACTAGACCATGAAGTAGCCATATGTCAAGCAGATCCTACAGTGGTAAGACAGTATCAATTGGCCCGAGGAGTGACCATTAGCCACAGGGAGCTTATGGTCACTCCTTTTGCCAATGCAATGCTTACTATCTGGCTACGATAGGATCTGATTGGAGATTACATCTATCAGTAATTCATTTGTGGGTACGACTCCAGGAGTTAGATTAACTTAGAACCTTAAAACTATCTATCACTGCTTTAGTACCTCCGGCCGTAAAACTATAAACAGTTGTTTTATCGCAAGTAGATTGCTGGCACGCAACTCTGAACACGAATTCAGAATGTCATCGATTTTTGTTTCCGAAAATCAATGTTTAATTTGGAGCCATTACACCTCAAAGCTTATTTTATCTACCTCTGACTTTTTATTTAGGTGGGTAGATTTTATAGGAATGTAGCCGATAGTCAATTCTGTACTGTTGTGAGCGTAAAACCCACCCGGCCATTGTCACCACTTTTTGGTTAGGCCACACCAATTTAATTTCTTGGTTAACGGATTTGCCCGCTTCATTTTTTTCTGATTTCAAAAAAAATTCAGAATCAACTGCAAAATGCTCATATTTTGTCCTGAACAGTTGAAAACAGTCCTTTTCTTCCTACTTGTTACAGTCATTCCATCTTTCAATGCATTGGTACATTGGTATCATTAAAAGTTCAAAATTCATTGTTTAAATTTTGAACCAGCCTGGTGTGTTAACTTCATGCTATCGTATCATTTTTGGCCATAATAGGACGCCTACGCCTGTTTTTATTTTTTTTCGCCCACCCGCTCCTTTATTTTTCTAGAAAAATTTGTTAACCAAGAAATTAAATTGGCGTGGCCTTAGCCTGATCTAACAAAAAATTGTGCTTCGATCAATATCAGCCCTTAGATTAGCAGTATGTTGTCAAGAATCCTGTATATAGTGAGCACCTGTCCAAGTTGTAACATCTGACCACTAGTCTCTTGACACCTGGTCACTAAGGCAGGTGTGACAGTACTGAAAATTGTACACCTAATTTAGTAATTATCACCTGTAACAAAACAATTGACACCCTTAAGCATCTTTTAAGATGTCGTTTTCACCTTTGCACTGGGAAGACCCAGTTTTTAGTCTGGTGAAACAATTACAGTTACCTTAAGGGCTATCTTATCTGTTGTTTGGTAATCACCAAAGGTTTTATGTTTACTAGTCCCTGAGGCTATTCTAACCATGGATACGAGATACATGTACCACGACATGCAATTTGTATGATTGCAATCGAATGAACTGACCTAAAAATACCTGGAGAGTTTCTGTATAGATTGGATGGCAAAACTGGGTCGTTTGGATTATCTAAACACCATCACAACATGAGCTAACATCTGTTGTCATCAATTTGTAGGTAATTACTAAAAGGTGAGGACAAAACCAGGTAAAATGCAGCTGTGGATACTGTAAATCATGAAACTTTGTCAGTGGTTTTATTTTCGCGTGGACCTCTCGACCGTGAATTTACAACACTGCAAATACATGTGTGTCTTTCTTGTGTACTACAGCATTATTTCCAACTGCGAGTTTAAAATACTACTAGTAACAGTGAACACCTTCCTTTCCCTCCTACCATAGAATTAAGCTGCAGCAAAAGTTTCACGAGTTACAGTAACAACATGAAGTCAGCAGATGTTACCAGAAAGTACTCAGACATACATGAGGGCCTGCAAGGGGGGTAGTGATTACGAATTATGGAAAATTTTCGAAATACGTTAAAGTCTCAGAGATGATTACAACTTTACGATTTGCGGCTAATGTCCTATTACGAATTACGTTGATTTTTGTGGAGGCTGCCTACGAATTACGAAGTCTAAAACGGCCTGATTACGCCTTACAAAAAAGGGCTTGCAGGCCCTCATACATGTGTGCAAAACATTGAAACAAAACCGTGGGGGAAGGCTAACATTATCAATTATTCTTTCAAAATCATATTAATCATGTTGGCACGATTGTGCGTGGAATGTGTCCCACTCTTTTGTTCAGGTCTGTCCAAAAGGTTTGATTTGTTAGGCTGAGGCAGAAAGACATTTATTTTTCACACTCGCAGAGGTTTTACTGTATGTATTGTGAAAACTTTGAAGCTTGTTAATTTGCAGTTTTAGTTTGACATGTTGAGAACATTCCAGCTGACATTAATAATGGAACTACAGTTGTATTTCTTCCATGAATGCGGTTTCAAGTGTTGGTTTGTTTGTAGCATTTACGAAGAAATATGAATAGATATCCCTGTCTTATGATGTCTTAACATTTATGACAATAAGAAGGAAGGGCATCATTTATTGATGCTATCTAATGCAGATATAATTGGGTTACTCATTCACAAAAAAATGGTTACATATATCTGATGACAATTTGGCTCACAAACAACTTGCTCTATACGCTTTGGAAGCCATCTTAAATAAAAGGTCAGTAAAAAAAGTCTAGGCTTGAAGGACATGTTCTTTCCTTTGTGATTTAGGATGAACATTAAACCTTGCAAACGTTGTAACGTTTTCAAAAGTCAGGGAAAATTTTGAAAAGGTATCGAAGCATTGCCAGCAGGCAACCCTTCAGAATCAATTCGGAAAAAGATTTCTAACTCACACCTGTACCTTTTTTTATTTATTTATTTATTATGATTGACTACATACATAATATACATGGAGGGCATGGTGGAACAGGTGTACCCAAGTGCACCTGTTTTTAACACTTTCACATTCAGAACTTTGTTTTGTCAACACACTTGTGACGTAACAGACATAGTAAGTTACAACAACAGGGTTCTCACGTTTCCAGTCCCCCCTTGTTTGTGTTTATGGTCTGTTGGTACGTCATCTCTTCCTGCCTTAGTGTGGCAATGACGTACAACGACTCGATTTACACAAGCGGTCAAAAACATGACGTACAAAAACTGCATACCATTATGAAAAATGTGTATCAAAATTTTTCCTGCATGTAACTCGGCCTCCTTTGACGTATGCTCAAATCGTCATCGTTACCTCGAGGACTGGCATATGCATACGATCTCAACTTAGTTAATGTTCTTGATCAAGTTGATGCATGCCAAAACAGGCTGATTTAGTAACACGCAGGAAAAATTTGATGTTTTCGGACACAGTTTTGGTAAGTCAGGTATTTACTCGCACATTTAAATGGAAGAATGCTATTATTTCAGTGGTTATTTCTTTTTGCGGTGACACTGTTTGTAACCTCCGTTTCCCTCCTACCACAAAATAAAACCAACGCAAAAATTTCACCATTTACAGTACTAACTACATGGGTCACACCTACATACATGTATGAATGGTACATTACATATCTTGGGAATATGATTTGTTTCAGAAGTTCGAGCAGAAATCTTAGAAGTAGACAAGATCGTTCTTACAACCGGAGATCAGTGAAAGACAAATACTTGTTGACCCTTTATTCAAACAGGGCCTCTCGGGGCTTCTTAAGTGTCCTTAAATCCTCCTCCGCAGGTCGAAAGGTGAATTACGTTCGACGCCTTCGATGTAAACATGTCATTGTGCCAAGTTAACACAATAGAGTATGACAAAGGGGAGAGAATATTCACTGGCAAACATGTTGGCTCAAATACCCTTCGAGCTTACAAGTTAGACCTTTGGCCTTGGTGACGTAGTTGTGTATGGAAAATAAAATATTCATGTGAAAACATACTATTTAATTGGATCAAGACAGTTGAGCGATTTCGACATTTTAGCGATTTTGGGGCAATTTTGAAAGTTTTTTCAAAGTAGCAAGTTGAACAAACCCTATCCATGCCATATTGATATCTGTGAGGCAAAAATGCAAATAAAAAAATATGTCACTGACAAAAAACAGTTGCTTGTTGTTTTGTATCCCAGGCTGGTTCTAGTTATTTGTTGGTGGTACCAAAAAATAAAGAGACTCCTCACGTAGCTTATTTTCAGGCCATTTTAAACACTTCAAGTATAAAATGGTGACAAAAATGTGCCAAGGGATGGCAGTAAAACTCAATATCAGACAAATTTACTAATCCAGAATATACCTTCTTGATTTGCCGCCCTGAAAATGCCTTTACGGTTGCGTGCTGTTTTTGTAACACCCCGTTTCTGTTTACCATACTAATACTATTTGGTTTAAAGTAAAGCTCAGCAGTTGAACCTGAACCAAAAATATGTCAACCGCGCCCATAATTTCATTTTACACAAGTCTGCCCAGCCCAAACTATTGAGCGCTTCACTGGGCAAGCAAACCCACTCCCCTTCCTATGACTTCATAACAACGGAAGACGCCTCAAAAATCCTCGGTCTAAAAGAAAGGACATCCTCTGACTTCGCCTTGTGACTAAAATGGTAAAGAACATTTCTAAAGGTCGACACATAAAACTAGAAAACCATATTAAAAAGGAAAAAAATACGATCGAGCAAAAATTATGACACTGGACACAGCATTATTTTCACGCTATATTCGTGTAACACAGTTACTAAGGGAAAAACACTATCGTTTGAGTCGAGTTTTCCAAGTCGTTCTGTCAGTGTCAAACGACCGTAGCTCGCTGTCACCAAGAAAATTTTTCGCTGTGTTTATGTAGGTCGTCAACTGAAACGCCTGGTTTCCACAAATACAAACAGTGACACGGGCTAATATTAGTAGTCAAAACAAGACAAAAACATGGGCAGTAAAATGTGAGGAAATGACTTGGCCTACCATTTGTCTAACCACTGCAAAATCCAGTCCAAAAGTTCGCCTTCGACTTCGTCTGGTGTCAGATAGAAAGTGATCAGCCGAAGTGGGAGGGTGTCGTCTGCGCCGAAGTCGGTTGGGTATTTCTCGAGGAAACTCTGGAGAAACCCTTTGTACGAAGAGTCTGCGTCTTCTTGTGACACATCCATGTTAGGTTATACTGTGTGGAGCTCGTACGAAGCCCATAGGGTTCTCAGAAACGGCACGAAATCCGGTTTTTACACCCCCGTACCGACTGCATCCATACACAAACTGCTGATCTCCCTCCCCCTCACACCGCGAACGTGGGCTCTCTGTGACGTCACGTATCTGTGCACATGTTTCTGGGACGACAGGGCTATCCACCAATCAGCGACTAGCGCGCGAAATTCGAATGTTGTGCAAGGTTGCACAACTTTGTTCCGAAGACAATATCCAGCGCTTTAATATGAATTATCAAAAGCATTTTAGTGTCATTTCATAAAAGAAGCACGTTAAGGTGACTTTCTAAGATATTCCGTGCGTCCGGGAAGAGCTTGATTCCATCTTTAGAAATGTATGTTGCAGAGGATAGCGATGTCCTAATGTCCACCTCTAAGTAAGTTCTATGGCTTTCAGGTTAGGGACTATATGGCCACAAGTAAAAGATTAAGGTATACGTGGCATCAATAAAGTTTCGATTATAGCTCATTAAAGTTGCATTTATCAATCTATCTATCCATCCAGCCATCCATTCGTTCACCCATATCCCATCCACTCACTCACTCACTCACTCACTCACTCACTCACTCACTCACTCACTCACTCACTCACTCACTCACTCACTCACTCACTCAAAGCATTCATCCATTCATTCGACAGCAAAGGATAAAATAGCCCAAACAAGTCCTTCAGGAAGCAACACGGATTTTATTCTCCATGTCATAACAGGAATACACATTCCTTATTTTTATAAAAAAAAGTTGACATATTCTGTCACAATAGAAAGATCAAATTGAAAAAAAATCCAATACTAATATTGACTATCGGCTAGTTGACAAGTTTCATCTGGACACCATTGGCGACTCTGTGGAAGGTTGTGATGACGATTCCAACCGCCAGGCGGCGCCGCAGGTTGGTGGTATACTAGATGGCGCTGTTCTGAGCCACCGGCTGTTGAGGACTTGGTCTATCGTGACGCGTTGCGAGGCGTCTGGTGTCAGCATTTGTGCGATCAGGAATTTGCATTCTTGTGAGATGACTCTTGTGGACGAGTAGTTCAACTGTAGAGGACACAGAGAGGAAGCAACTGGTTAAAAACTGACCCGAAAAGTAATTGTACAACAAACAATTCATTCTAAAGCATTCTAAAATAGTCAAACTCTTTCTTAAATTCATAAATATTTGTAGACTCACAGTACCAATATATAGCAGGCATACGTGTCAATGTTAATATAATCTAAGACGTTTAGGAATGTATACTTACTTTTCTGTCCATCTGTTTCCTGAGCATCTTCCTGACGTTGGAATCGTCAAAAGGCATAGTGCCGCACACCATGATGTACAGCACCACTCCCAGGCTCCAGATGTCGTAGGAGCTGGGCTGGTAGGGTTTCCCGCGCAGTACCTCCGGGGAGGCGTAGGCCGCAGACCCGCAGTACGTCTGACTGAGAGTCGGTCTCCCTCTGTCGTCTGACGGCGTGTCCCGGGCAAACCCGAAGTCTGTCAGCTTGACGTGTCCGTGTGCGTCTAGCAGGATGTTCTCGCACTTGAGGTCTCGATGGCAGATGTCCTGCGCGTGACAGTAGGACACGGCCTCGGCCAACTCACGGAAGGTCTCCCGTGCTCTGCGCTCGGACATGGCGCCACGAGTCTGCACGTACTCCAACAAGTCGCCGTGGGGCGCTTCTTCCATAACAGTGTACACCTGTAGCACAGCAAGAGAAACACAAGTTAGAGACATGTCCAACCAAACTTTGCTACCTCTTACGAATAATCTATAAAAATACATGACATGTATATGCGTATGATCTATAGACTATATCGCCCAGATTCGCCATATGTAGTAAGTTCAAACTCAATTTGTTCTTGACCTCTGCATAACAATTGACCTGATGCCGCTTCCAGCGTTGTTTCGCATCATTTAACGAATTATTCGCCTTGAACTGACAAGGCTTTGAGCAATCACTGTCTAAGATGTGTTTTAGGGAGTCCGTCAACGGCTAGACCAACTGACTGGAGCCCTGACAATGACAGATGATGGCCCGGGAGTTACAGTAAGGCTTTGCCGTCCTCGGAGCCCAGGATTAGCACTTCAAAATCCCCTCCATCCCCCAAGATCGATCGAAAGCATCAGTTCAACCCACCCGAAGCTATCTTGTCATGTGGAGGCCATCTCGTGTCGTTTTGATATCATTTAGAAAGCAAAAGTACAAAAGTGTATGTGTCTTACCTTGTCTGGTGTGTCGATGATTTGATAGACTTTCACGATGTTTGGGTGGTTTAGCCGCTGTACGATTGCCAGCTCTCTGGGAAGGAATCTTTGCAGAAAGTCCTGTAGGAAGACATGAAATAGATCAATGTAAGACGTGAGTATGTTAGAAAACCTACGCAAAAACATCAAATCGATACAAATTCAGCACCAAGGACAGGACATCCATATATGGTCAACGTGTCAGGACGATACCAAAAAGTTCAAGCTGAGGGGCGTCCAAAAGATTAGATAAGCGGCACATTATACGCCTCTACGATACGGGTTTTATCAATAGGAGGTTATCTTACCTTTCCAGCCACTCTCTTGTTGATGATTTTGACGGCCACGTCTTTCTCGAGCCTCACGGAGAAGGCCCGCTTGACGCAACCGTACGACCCGTCACCCAGGGTCACCCCCAGGCGGTAGCCGTACTTCTGCAAAACGTCTTCGTCGCGAATATTCGACATCTTCTCTCGATAGATCTCCACCTTAGGTGAAGACTTAATCCTCTTCGACGGAAGGGCACCTATCTTGATGCGGTTCTGAAGATGAATGAGGAGAAATTTCATTTTGCTCTCCTTATAGATAGCCTGGAGCGAACTGTCCTTCGCCATCTTGTTGTACCGGAGTGCTCCGAACTCGCCCTGGGACGTCCTAGTGCAACTTGCACTGGCGTTGCTAGGGCAACCGAGAAATGCCCCCAAAACAAACACAAAATGACCCAGTTTTCTTGTATTTTTCATACCAACGGTAGTTTTTATTGCAAAAGTAGCAAAAAGTGCGTTTAAAATGGCCTATTTTGGCCCTAGGATGTGATTTTTTCGCTCCAGAACATCTTGCTCCACGGTGCTCAGGGCATGATGTACTAGAACATGTCCACCCCAGTGCATGCAGCCCAGGGCATTTTGCCCTAGGGTGGGTTGCACTGGGTTCAGGGCAAAATGCCCTAGTGCAAGACGCCTTTAAGTACAGATTTCTTAACAGACATAAGACTGGTGGCATTTCTTAACTTCCAGAGAGTTTACAGATTCCATTTTACTCATTTTCGTGGTCGTTTGGCGTTTTTTTGCTGTCTAGCCGGCTTTTCAAGTTCCGTGAATTTAATTTTTTTTCTCGCCCCGTACGTAGGTACGCTGTGGCCGTCTCGACCATTATGACGCAACAAAGGTGACATAGGTTGCACCAAACTGTTAGATTTTGCCTCGTATCCGGACGAAATTTCGAGTAGATACTTGATCAGTTGTCAACCAGGGCATGTGTTGTGGTACAGAGCATTCGTAGAATTGATATCATTTCATTTGTGTTGTCTTTCGGGGGTCTTTTCGCCGTAAAGTCGGCTTGAAGTTCCTTTTTTTTCCTTTTCACCATGCGCCGCCATTGATAGTCGTGACGCAACAAAGGTAACATCATTTTCCCAATTTGAAAGTTTTTACCGTGTATATCCGGACGAAATTTCACGTATAGATACTTGTAGTTGTCAACCAGGACATGTTTTGTGGTTCAGAGCATTCGTAGAATTGATATCATATCGTTTGTGTTGTCTTTTGGGGGTCTTTTCGCCGTCAAGTCGGCTTGAAGTTCCTTTTTTTTCCTATTCGCCATATGCGCCGCCATCTGTAGTCATGACGCAACAAAGAGAAAACGTCATTTGCACAAATCTGAAAGTTTTTACCATGTATACGGAGGAAATTTCACGTAGATAATTGTTCAGTTGTCAAGCAGGTCAAGTTTTGTGGTTCAGAGCATTCGTAGAATTAGTATCATTTTTTTTGTTGGTCTTTCAGAGGTCTTGTAGTTGTCAGGTCGGCCCGAAGTTCCGTTTTTTTTTTCTTTTCGCCCCGCTCGAAGGCAGGACGTCATCTATATTTATGACGTAACAAAGGTGAAATTAGTTGAAATTTGAAAGTATTTGCCATGTATACGGACGATATGTAATGTGTATGTACATGATTAGTTAACCATGGCATATTTTTGTATTGTTTTAGACCATTCATAGAAGCAATATTATTCGTCTTTGTGTTTTTTTTACTTCTTATCGTCCTCAAGACGGTTTGTATTCGAAGATCCGTTTTCCTTATATTCACAGTAGCCTCCACCAGGCCTTTCTACGGGAATACGGATCGTAGAATTCCTCAAAAAAGAGAGAAAAATTGGCCAGGCCGCGGGGAGGTAGTTTCTTTCCCTCCGAAGCGGCCTGGCAAACCTACAAGGTGGCCAAACTCCCCTGGCAATTATTCTCCCATATATATATAGCAAGCGTAGTTAGTCTGGTAGATACTATATTCACAGCGCGATTTCGAAGGTGCGTCGCCATGCATGGCCATCTCTATCTATGACGCAACAAAGGTGACATCTTTCGCAAGGTTGGAAACTATATTTGCAAAGCTTCCGGGCGAATTTTTCCCCCATTTCACATAGACATGATTGACGCAACTATCCACATGGACGAAGCCTCGAGGTATCAACAGTGGAGCAAATTTTCTTTGAAAAAAAAAAACTTTTAAAAATACTATATGACGTCAGAAGGTCTTAGAAAGCTTTCCGTGACATCACGAGTTTTGTTTTAACCTTGTATCGCCCGAAGTGAAACGTTAGGCCGTTCTAAGGCCATGTTAATTTGATTATATGGATGACATCCTCTGGGAACCCCAAAACTGATGTGAGCGTGCGAATAAAAAATGTTTGGCCAAAAAAAGTTGCTTTCATTATGAAATCTACGGGGTCATGAAGGTTGAACAAATGACACAGAGTATGGTACGGCGAATAATCGAATCTTCAAATTCATTTCTATACATTTTCGTCTTTTTCGTTTGATTTTGGCATTGGTACCGTTTTTCAATATTTGTTTGTAACTTATGGTATATATTTGCTAATTTTGCAACTGTTTTGAACGATTTACAGTATGGTTAAAAACTTTTTTTTTGAAACGGATGGAAATTCATGCGCGCGTGGATGTCAACCACATAATCAAATCAACATGGCCTAACACATTTCAAACGTCACGGCACTCTCGGCACGCTTCGCGACACTTTAAGGTGAAGGTCATGAGATCATTTCAGTTGCATATATCATTTTCTATTGGACAACAGTCAGTCGGATAAGCACCGATCCCATATACAGCTCCGCCCACCTGTCACGTCATAATGCAACTATTTGATGTGGCGACCAATCACTGAAAAGGTGGCGATGATCTCAATTTCAATTGTAAAGTCGCTACAAAATCCATAGCTCCGCCCACCTGTCCTACGTCATAATTCAACTATTTGATGTGGTGACCAATCACCGAAAAGGTGGCGATGATCTCAATTTCAAGTGTAGTCGCTACAAAATCCATAGCTCCGCCCACCTGTCCTACGTCATAATGCAACTATTTGACGTGGCGACCAATCACTGAAAAGGTGGCGATGATCTCAATTTCAAGTGTAAAGTCGCTACAAAATCCATAGCTCCGCCCACCTGTCCTACGTCATAATTCAACTTTTTTTGATGTGGCGACCAATCACTGAAAAGGTGGCGATGATCTCAATTTCAAGTGTAGTCGCTACAAAATCCATAGCTCCGCCCACCTGGTTCTACGTCATAATTCAACTATTTGACGTTGCGACCAATCACTGCAAAAGTGGCGACGATATCAATTTCAAGTGTAAAGTCGCTACAAAATCCGGTCTTATTGGTCGAATATCCTCAACATAGCACACTAGTACTCCCACACACAAATCGCAGTATATGTACGCATGTGCAGTCAGTTAACCACCCATCCACCTACACCCACCCTTCTCAGTCGAGCTCAGCCTTGTCGACAGTACATACAGGCGCGAGCTATAGCCGCTAACAGCCGGCTTGTATCGTACAAGGACCCCGACCATGGGCACCGGACTAACAACGCTCTTCCTAGCACTTCAACTACTGCTATTCCTCCACCTGAGCGAGGGCGGACGAAATCGGCCTGCCGCTAGGAAACAATACTTTTACAACTGCTTGTGAGTAAAGTTTCTATCCTTTTTCTTCTTTTGTTTTTACTTCATTCCAACAGGACAGACGGACAGAAAGATGATGATATCGTTGGAGAAGGCAGTACTGTTGGGGGTGTTTTGCGGCCAGCTGCTAGTGTGTGCTGAGCGGCAAGATGATACTAACAGGGAGGTATTTTTTCTCTGGGAAGAAGAGGGCTATAATTGCTAGTAAGTTATTTTTAATACACGTTACGGTTTTAATATTAAAATTTCTACTAGAGGATCCGACCGCTGACCGCTCAATGAATTCCAGAGATTAATAATTATTAATGATCCTTGGAAGGTCTGTATGTCCCTGTTTTGGGGTCTTATTTTGGAATTATTACTTTTGAATCATCCGGTATCATATTCATATTCCTGAAATCATGGGTCACATGAACTTGAATTTTGGTCGCTGAGAGATCGTCGTCTAGTGAGACAACCTTACCGCCATAATTCTTTGACCAGTCATTTCTAAGACATGTTTTAGATAATGTTGTGGAGCTCGAGCCAGGGAGACATTTGAAACCTTCTTGGAGTGAGGGAATTATGATAGGGTGTCCGGGAGAAATTTGTAGTCAGTTTTGGCGATTAAAGGTGCGGTCACATTCGTCGTACAATCGTGGAACGATCGACGTGGAACACTAGTATATAGTCGTGCATATGTCATGGACAATTTCAACTGTCTTGCTACGGAGAAGGCTAGCTGGTTTAGATCTTCATTGGTGATTAAACGTCGGTTCTTTCACAGATCGAACGACGGCCTACGACGTCTGTGACCGCGTACCCTTGATGCCAAACTCGTTTCGGGCCGCTAGCTTTTCCCTTCGGCAGCCAATAACACTTCGCATGCCTGTCTAAAATTACCGCTACAGGGGAGTCAAGCCCGGGGGGAGTTTGGCTAACGACCCGATACTAGTTTGGCACCCAGGGTAGTGACCGCGCCGTAAGCATCAGTTCTCATCATGTAGTTATTGTATTCATTTTCTTGTACGCTACCTTTGAAGAGGTATATCATAACCGATATAACTGAGAATCATAACTGACATACATTGTACAACCGACTGTACGCCCCGACTCATAGAGACTACTGTAGTAGGAGGCTATATAGTGCGAGAAAATGACATATCTACAGTTTTGTAGGTTCAATATCGTTGCTTACACCAGTTCAGTTCAGAACTTGAAAGATGGTTCAACGATTTTTGCGACTCTCCCTCGCTTTGTGCAATCAACACTTGCGTTGTACAGACGACAGCTAAAATGCATCCCCCGCATGTATTATAGCTACAGTTTGATACATAGCAGATGTTTGTCAACTCTGTAATGCGGTTTGAAGAGTCCCACAGGCGCCCATTAAGCTCCATTCTTCTTCTTCATGTAATTTTTAAGCGCCTTACGTGCAAGTGGGCGTGCGTCAACTGAGACGAGCCTGCCATCAAATTTCTCTTCTGGCACTTAACAGGCGCCGGGGGCTCGACACTTAACTCTTAATCCCTTGAGTAAATCGAGAAGCGAGCTAGTAAAGAAACCGGTAAAGGGCCTCCTTGGACATCATTCTATTGCTGCAGGTTAGATTCGTGACTAAGGAAGACTTTGAACTTTTGTTTATGTATCAAAATACCACTATTTTCTACCGCCACGAGGTGTTGTTTTTGGTATTTCTCTCCTTCCCCCCTCTCAGCTCTCTCTCTTTCCCTCTCTCTCCCTCCCTC